ATGATGGCCAATAGCCCGAAATAGCTATATCACAGTACGCCAAGTGTGTCTGTCGGAACACCGTTATAAAAACATAACAAAAAATACGTGCTGTAAAAGATGGCTACTTACGTAGTATTGACATTGCTAATGAAGCAGCCTAATCCAACAATATTTCAGCCAGGTCCGCATGCCAGCTTTTGGATGAGCTTTTTTCTGACCACAAAATGTTTGCTCTGAAAAAATGGCTACTTAAGTATTGTGTACTTTTATCAGGGATTTTTGATGCCCTGAAGTAGATTTCATGGAAAACATGCACAAAATATTATTTTTTGTACTCATTCGGTACCAGCTAACGCCTTCTTCAAAATTTATGCTTGAATAAATGGTCTATTTCGGTTTAACAACATTCTAATTATGATCGTATTGGTCAACTAACTAATGCTGCCTACTAAGTATAAAACTGGGTGCCCATTCATTGCAAAATTTTATGAAAATTATGAGAGTTCTTCCTCACTGCGTAGATGAATGTGTGATTTGCTTTTGAACTAAATTATACAACATGCAGTCGCGAAACCTTGAGTAGAAGTGAAACGATCGGTGGAGTTCAAAATCAGTCGGAAATTTGTAAACCGGAAAATAGCATTTCATCAGACATTAAATTTCAAGAAGACGTAATTTACTACCGAGTTAGTACAAGAAATATTATTTTATGACCATTTGTATAAAATATACTTGCTGTTCATAATGCACGCGAGAGCATTATCATGAGAATCAACTCTCGTAATAACGTGTACATGTCCATACTGTGCAATTCCAACTAAGCCCTAATTAGTTTCACTAGTGAATCTCACCCGTAGGCTATACTTATTTAATACTATACCACATCACGATATCTTCTTCTACAGCTTTCTTAGTACGCTGTCTTAAAAAATAAGTAAGGCAAGCATAATTTTACGTGTATAATTTCTTAGGGTAGCTAGTCAAACATCGGCTAACCCGATGTAGTCCAAAAAATGAATATGGCGAACCAGCTGAAAAAGGTAACATTTCCGAGGCAGATAACCAGATACAGAGATCTGTCCGTTGGATGTAAGGGAGAAGTGAATTTAGCCCTTGAGTCAGACAGACTCCCTTGTTTAGTCATGGAATGTCCGTCTGATTACGAGGAAAAAGCCCGGAATGGCCATCCTAGGAGTACTCACTTTCTGCACTTTAAAGAAATTAGTTGTTCATTGCTAGGCCATCATCGGCGCGGTTTCTGGGGCTACAACCAATAGGAAACGGTCATGTCCAGTCTCCATCAAGATAGAGGCGTGGACATCAGGCCAACGCGGCAGTGCACATACCCAAGCTCCTACGAAGGTAGGCGTTGATTCAGACAGTCGATGGGAGATAACATCCCCAGGGTACAGTGCTGGCCGATGGAGTGACGCCAGCTGTACCATAACCAGCTGCCCCATACTTGTTCGCGAGTGAATGGCAGTTAAGCGACCATCACAAGGGCACGAGTATAAAGAATTAATTTTTCCCATTGTCAGCCAATGGGATTTCGGGACAGAAACCGCCGCCCTTTCCGGGGCTGCGTATACTTGCGCAGTGTTCGACAAAAAAAGCAGCATAGTCGAGGTTTTTCAAGCAACAGCAAAAATCGGTAACCCAAGTAGGATGCGCATAGGAGAAAGCCGTCGGGCGTGAGACTGAAATTGACGCCTCGAAGGTCCGCTAAGCGGACGGACTATCAGCTGTCGTCATCTATATCCAATGAAGTGAGGTGTTGCTAAGCTGCGAAAGATTTGGACTCGTGCTGTGAAGAATGTTTTGCGAAACAAGCAGAATTCTCTGGACAAATAAAAAAAACATGTTTTAACATCCCATTAGGTGAAAAAATAGTGTTGGAATACCGGGCGGAAACAAAACAAAAGTAGGCAGCATTTACAGACATATAAGCACACAGATTCATTCATTCATTCATTCCTCTTCAATTTACAGTAATTCTTTGAAATGGTATTTTATACTGAGTAACTGTGGCTGGCCTTTAAAACCCACCTTGGGCGAAAGGTCTCCGCAACCGACCTAAAATCTAACACTAAAACGTTCGGTTTACCATGCTCCGAAATAAGTAATCGATCGCCCAATCAGTTAACATTTCTCTTCTACACGGACTGCTGATGTGCTCCTACCGTTCGTGTCTAGTTTCAGCGACGGTAGATCCATCAATTCAGTTACACGCTTCGCAGCTAGTTTCACCGACTACCTTCCCGCGAATCAATAACTGAATATTTAACGAATGCCTTGTTTCCTAGCACAAACTAGTTCCGCGTAAAGTAAGGACTGCTCCCGTCACCATGAAGGGAATAATCACGAAGAAGGCACCTTCTTCCACTTTCAAAAAAGACAGAGTTCATGACCACCCTCAGTAACACATTGCCATCAGTCGTAATTACAACAGACTTAGCGTTGAAAGTGAGCATTAGCAACGGTGGAGTCCGCATTTTTTGCGTTCATGAAACCGACGACATTTTTACAGTATCACAGGGCTAGTGATTTGCGCTTAAGTTAGCTTATACTGCTAGTAAGCTTGCACAACATCTACAGCACCAGCTCCTATCTCATTCATCTGGGTCTGATGTTAAGAGGTCTTCAGGAAGATTGGAATCAAGCGCAAATGGCTGGGCCGACGTGAACCGACGCCTATACGTGCAGGATTTGTTGTGCGTGTATACCCGATAACGCCGCTTGCTTCCTAATCTGGGCTCTGTTTTGGTTCAGCACATCTACTACGTGGTTCGTTGCAAGGGTGTCACCACTGGATCCTCGTTCACCTCTACAAGTGACCGTTGATAACCTACCACATGTACATCCTCACAATACTCATTTACTTGTACTGGTTGCGGCTGCGATCATGACTGATCTAGCCGGCCTCGATTATGTCCCGTACGGTGCTTCTCCACGCGTGACGATCCGTGGCAGCGGACCTGGATATTTCGAGGCATTCCCTTCGCCACCGCCGGAAACCGAATACCGAAAAACCAAGAACCACTTCCCTATCCTGACGGACTGAGTAGAGCCAGGTTTTGACCTGACACCCACTTTGACGTTTCCAATTAGGTAACGGTTTCGGTTCGAGGGCAGTAACATTGAGCTCATGAGGTTGACGGTGAAGAACGTATCCAAACCATATCGGTCGTCTTTCTTGGATTGTCTGGGGCATCCTTGCGATGTTGTCGCAGCAAGTGCGGTGTGTCTCATTTGAGACGAAGTCGGTGTACTTCACTCGAAGGATGGTCCTCAAGCAGTAGTGATCAAAGACTTCTAGTTTGCGTTCATTTTCTACGCGTATAGCCCAACATTCGCATCCATATAGAAGAACAGACCGTACAGATAAACGGTACAGGCGGAACTTTGTGGAGATAGAAATATTGCGTCGGGTTCATAGGCAGTTTCGAAGGCTGGAGAAAACTCGTCGAGCTGCGTCAATTCGGGAGACAATGTCATCCTTACTCTGTTCATTGGGTAGCAACCTCGCTCCGAGGTATTTGAAACTGTCTACTTCTTCAAGTTGACACCACTAATCTCGAGGGGTGCCTTCTCTTCGGCAGGGGTGTAGCATGAATACACTTTGGTCTTCCCAGCGTATATGGACAAACCGACCGATATCGCCACCTCTTTCACCCGTGACACCATAAACTGTAGATCGCCAAAGCTTGAAGCTAATT